GTTCATATTTTTAGGTACTTATAATAAATCACCCGGTTTGATGCCGTTCTGCCTGAAGGGTTAAGGTGTAGTTGATATTACTGCTGTATTGAATTATGGTCATTTGTCGTTTTTTTTTATTTTTGTCGTTCATATTTTTAGGTACTTATAATAAATATATATATATATATATATATATGTATATATACACGATAGACATAAGTAGATCGAATGGTACATTGATCGGATTTAGATTTCACATAGTAGCAAGCGTTGGCAAGTAGGAAACAAGCGTATTGTAAATAAGACCTCAGGCTTCGTTCGTTTTCATGTAGTGCTTAGTATTTATCTAGAGTACAAAAGTCATTGGTACGAGTCAAAGGCTAGTACAAAGTAGAGGGTCAAATAGGGGTAAAATATATGTCACGTATCAAGTAAAAATTACTGCAGACGACTAAACAATTTTAAACTGGGAAATATGCGAATCCGTATATGTATTTCTTACTGCACATGATATAATTACTTAACAAGGCAGTTACATGGCAATCAGCACAGCCACCGTTATGGTGCCACTTTTCCGCCATCCGCCTTATCTTACGCCGATCTTACGGACCCCTATATTTTTAAAAATACTTTTTCTTTTTCAGTTTTCACGTCCTCGCAATTCCACATTCCGCACTGTATCCATCATCCGTGTACGAACCAATGATTTAAATGATCTTGAAATTTTAACAAAAAAAAAAAAAAAAAAAAAACTCACAAGACCCGCATCATCGGATTGAGTACAGAAGAAAATTGACTTCCTAAAAAGGAATGTAGTAAAATTTTAAAAAAAAAAAAAAAAAAAAAGAAACTCACAAGACCCGCATCATCGGATTGAGTACAGAAGAAAATTGACTTCCTAAAAAGGAATGTAGTACAGGCTGTGTCTTATACAAAATTGATACCCACACGTTACGTATTTTCCAAAGTGTTAATTGATTGTCCGTGAGGCGTCGTATTACTCAAACGTCAACCGGTTTCTGTCCTACGTCTGTAATTACGTGCTGCTCGACACGCTAGAGTGAGATTCGCAATGTGCATGCGTTTACCTCTGCGCACGCGCACTTGTGCTCTTTACGTTGAACATACGTGGACGGGTGTACACGGCACAGGTACGTTACGTGGTGCTGGCCCAATGACAGTACACGGTGATATTTTATTCTTCATTTTTTACTTCATTTTCTTCACGTCTCACCTCCCTTCTCCCAATACAACTGTGGTTCGTACATTATGACACACGAGACTACAAAGCTTTGTCACAATTGGAAAGGCCGTCAGGACGCTTCTTCGGTCTTCGCTGCTAGTAACTGAAACGAACGTTATTGTACGGGCGCGCGCGTGTGTAAAAAGAGTTTAGAAAAGTCGAAAGAAAAAGTTATATTACACGTGTGATGTACAGTATGTGTGGGGCCGATGCGGGAGGGGGCTAGAGGGTTATGCGTATCATTCGTACTAATAACGTGTTAACGCCTTATGAATA